CCCGGTTTTCCGTTTTTCGTATTTTACCGCGGTAGCGCGGTAGCCCGCCCACTTCCTTGTTTTTGTCACATGACTAAAAACAAGTCACATGACTAAAAACAAACCAATGAGAATCTAAACTAAAGCAGATTCAACCAAATATCTTAAAGATTTAGGGGGAGAGGGGGGGGGCACGGAGCGCCGGGGTCCGGTAGGGGGCTACCGGTAGGGGATGCCGAGGGCCACGTAATAATCTGAGAAAAATGATTCTTTTCCAAGGTTTTCAACTTGCACAGCCACAGAGACTGCAATTATATAGCTGTGTATATATATTTATGGGACGTGCGGTCATCCTCACAAGACAAAACATGCGATGACATATTATTATTTGTCCGCCGATCTTTATGTATGACTAATTGCGATAATTTTAATTGTCAAAATCGCTGAAATTGCACATTTTCTGTTGAAATACAGTCTGAAACGTGATGTACGCGGCAGCAAGGAGCCGAGCTGAACCTCTGATTGCGCAACCCAAACTGGGCTGTTGGTGTCTGTCGGCGTATCGCTGCATGTCGCCAATATAATGTTTGCATATACGTTTCTATAGCCTGATTTTTCAGTCTGGCTAATGTCTCAACGCGGCGTCTACGTGTAGATGTTTATGACATTACAGGATCGAAATCACAGTATTTTGTGTTACCTTTAAATATGTCCGACTTGAACATACAACTGTTGAAGGCAGTAGGAACCAACCGACCACCGTGCAGCACTACGTTACACAAAAAGCATGTTGTGCCTAAGTTACTTCCATTGAATGCAGCGTTTTATTATAATAATAATCACACACAGTATATGTAATTTTAAATTAGCCGATTTTTATTTGAAATAATCTGAAAGGGTATAACTTTTGTAGGATTAATTGTTTAGCTGATGTTTCAGGAAAAGGGGGACCTAAATAGCAACTGCACTCAGGGAACCGGCATTTGTAAGCATGCACAGATGACCGTCCACCTGTACACATGACCCTCTCCGTGGCACAAATGGGGATTTTCTCCATACTTAAAAGATGCTTTCACTCGTCGTTCGGCGTAATGAAGAAGCTGAAGGCGAAAAGCCCGGCGGAGCAGCGCTGGGTGCAGCGGCAGCTCAGAGACCCGTACGTCAAAGCTTCTCATGTGCAAAACTTTCGCTGCAGGAGCGCCTTCAAACTGCTGGAGATGGATGACGAGTTCAGGATTTTACAGCCCGGGAAAAGCGTGGTGGACTGCGGGGCTGCACCCGGGGCCTGGAGCCAGGTGGCTGTCCAAAGGGTCAACTCCAGTGGGACAGGTGAGTGCCAAGGTGCTCCTAAATAAATATACAGAACTAAAACTTAATGTAAAC